TCTCTGTGTCACATTTTGACAATTCTGACAGTATTTTCAACCTTTCCGTTTTCTTATGGTTGTTAACAGTGATCTGTGATCAGTGATCCTTAATGTTACTATTGTAATTGTTTTGACATTTTTTAGCAATAAAGTATTTTTTAAATTAAGGTATGTACATTTTTAAAGACTTAATGCTATTGTACACTTAGTAGGATACATATAATATAAACATAACTTTTATATGTACTGGGGAAAAATTTATGTGACTCTCTTTATTGCATTATTTATTGTATTGTGGTTGTCTGGAACCTAAATCTCTCCAAGGTATGCCTGTGTTTCCTGTAATCAGAACACTTTTCTATATGATTATGGCTTTATACTGCATTATCTTTCTAGCAGCTGCAAGATTTGAAGATTTAATGCTAATTATATTTGATCTTGGGTGAATGAATGTGGCAGTATAACTCCAATTAGTAATTAATAACAAAGAAGACGTAAAATGAAATTGTAGTTAAGGTATTTATTTTTCTTGAGTGAGGATTAAAGGTCGTTATTGAATTGTTGAGTACAGCATACTTCTTACAAGAAAGTATTTTAGTGATTTAAAATAATAGTAAATCTTTTACATAGCTAAATTTATTATGCAATAATTATTTTAAAAATTTGTATTTTTATGATAATGATTGTTTTAGAACAATCATTCTGCTGCTCCTTTTCAGCTGCTCCCTCCCATTTCCTGGCTACCATGGCCACCTGGAACACCTCGACCTCTCTGGGATCTTTATGATCAAATGATTGTTATCCTGTTCTCATAATCTCTCAATTTTCATTGAATCTTCTGGACTTCCCATTGTCTCTGTATCCCCACCCCTTCTTATCTTCACTTTTATCCCCACCCATTTCTCCCCATCTTCTGTTGTCTATTCCTTGAACCAGTTAACAAATGTACACAGTAGTCATGTTTTAGGCCATTTAAAGGAAGAGTAATAGGTGAATTGTTTGTTCCTAGACCAGTTGCTAGCAAACTTTGGCTATATTTTCTTTTTTTAATTATTAAATTTATTAATTTATTTTAAAATGAAACAAAGATGAATATTTTTAATGGTAAAAGGTAAAACTCACAAAGAAAATAGACATCTATTTCTTCTGATTTTTGCTTTTGTCTAATGGTTTATGATGGCTATAGTTTCTTGATGGGAAAGCCAAGGATATTAGTAATTGGCTTGGATTTTTCTACAAGGATAATTCAGATTTTTTTTTGAGTAGCCTTTAGAATTTGTCTTTTGTGCCCAGAAGGTTCTGATTTGAGTGTTCACAATTTCACATCCTATTTTATCCTTTAATGGTTATTTTCAGCTTTGCTATAGGCTTGGTAGGCTGCAGCTGGGGCATTACCAAAAAAAAAAAAATACAAGGAATGAATTAGAGTATTTTATAATTGGAAAGAATCTTAGAGATATATAATTCCAAATTCTCATTGTTCATATGATAAATTGAGGACCAGAGAGGTAAGTGATTTGCCTGAGGTTACACAGTTGGCACCTGGTTGAGTTAGGACCTAAATGGAAATCTCCAGATTACAAATTCAGAACTTATTTTTATTATCCCATGTGAATGGGTTGGTGGGTGGGCAAGCGTGTGAGTAATTAAAAGTCAGAGAAATGACTTCTATTTCTTCCCCTTCTCTGACTGGAAGGCCAGATGTTTCCAAGAATAATAAAACTATGATCTCTTTTGTCATTTGGAAAAGTGATAGTTTTGTTTAAAGTATCTGTCATTGTTTGAAGACTGGACCTCAGGCTTTCCTCTTATTTCTTTCTTGTTTAAGAAAAATGCTTTCCAGGGACAAGGATGCTGTATTGTGCGCTTGCTGGCAGGGATGCCAGGGTTTGTGGAGGAGCGAGCCTCGCAGGGTCCCTGCCTTGCTTGCTGCTCAGGAAGCAGGCTTTGTGACCATCTCCTGTCTGCTGGGCGTGTATGTGCTTTGACCTGTTTTTCCCATGAAGTTGGAAGTCTCACTGGGACAGCCATACACTCTAGCAGATGGCAGATCCTGTAAACAAAAGTGACAGTGAAAACTGTGGTCCCAGAATTGAGCCATACCCTAGTCTCTCTGTGCTTTGAACAGCTGAGGCAAGAGACGATTTCCCTCCTTGTTTAAAGTCTTTTGCTTCTAGATGGTTCATTCTTTTTCCAATTCATTTGAATTCATTTTAATCAGCTGTATCACACTCGTTTCTCTCCCCTGACTTAAAGTTATATTAAATATTCGCTCATCCTGTTGCCTCCTCGGGAGGCCTCTGCCAGCAGAATTTCAAAAGCTGAGTCTTTAAATGCCTTATCATTCTGAATATAAAACTTCTTATTTAAAAGACTGTCGAATAAACTCCTATTTAAAAAACCAAACGAAGCATAAGATTCACCAATTATCATGAAGAGAAACACAAGACAGTAAGTTTTAACTGAACAGTAGTTTAATTCATTCATTCAGTCATTTAATAAATATTTATTGCACATTTACTATGTTCCAGGGATGGTTCCAGACCCAGGGGACATAGCAGCTAACTCTGTGGACCAAAATCCCAGCTTTAATGGAGATTACATTCTAGAGAAAGGAGACAGTAATAAATGGGTGAAACATATGCTCTATCAGATGGTGACACGTGCTGTGGAGAGAAAATAAAGGAGATAGGCAGTGGGGGGTTGGGTGCCATTTTACAAGGGGTAGTCAGGAAAGGCCTCACTGAGAAGGTGATGTTTGAGCCAAGACTGTGGACTCTGAGGGAGTCTTGTGCATCCTGGTTTGCACGGCCGTTTTGGCTCTTGGTTTCTGAGATGGTAACCTGTTTGTTCACAGTAGTTTGTGAATTTGTAAATGAAATACTACGTATAATTAGAAAGTCTTTGAGGGTACTAGAAGTTGCTAGCCTCTCTGAAGCTAAAGTTTCCTTATGTGTAACATGGAGATGATAATACTTGTGGGACTAAATGTCTTATAGTAGACTATTGAACTTATGGTGCTACTTTGCTCTACTGTTAGTTATAGAAATAACAATAAATTTGATTTTTGTTTTGTTAATACTAAACAGAAGAGACTTTAGTGGTCATTTATTCTATTACATCACTATGCAGATGAAAAGGCACTGAAAAGATCAATGGCTCTATGGAAGTTAAGATCTTGGGCTATGGGGTCATTGAGACCTGGGTTCAATTCATTGCTGTCCATTTCCACTTACTGGCTACGTGCCCTTAAGTAAGTCTCCCCTAGCTTCACAGAATGGCAAGGACTGACTACAGAGATGAGTTCCTTGCCTGGCCCTCAGTACATGCCCAGTAAATAGCCCTGGAAGAGTTCTGTTATGCTTGGTGAGCAGAGAGCCCCTGAGATGGGAGTTGGTTGATCATGATGATGACTGCCCCACAGAAGAGACCTTGCAGGTGTGCCTGGGCTGCACATAATGATATGGTAAGAACACTTGAGTTTTCCGACATTGTACTGCCAATTACTTGCTTTGTGATATTGAACGTCACTTGATTTCTTCTCCCTGTGGTTTTCCCCTGTCAAGGTAATGACACTTGACCTTATGCCTATTTCCTGGGCTTTTCTGGAAGCTGAATAATGAAATGACAGTCTCTGGAACCTGACAGCCTTGGAGAAGTTCATAAACAGACACCCTCAGATGACTAGTGTATGCTCGTTGTACCACAGCGGTACTAAACTGAGAGGCTGGATCGCTGCTTTCCGAACTCAAATTGTTCTTGTTAGAGTCAACTCTTAATTCTTCTGTGCTAACTGGGAAAAATTATAATCTGAATAAAAGGAGCCAGCTGGTGTTGATTACTCGTCACTCTAAAAGTTGAGCAAGGCATAAGAGACTATAGTTTAAATCTCATTATCTCTCACCTGATTTCTTTCTTCAAAGCTGTGAAGCTGCAGGATGGTTCAGAGGCTCCCAGCCCCAGAAGAGAGCCAGTGTGCCTGAATAATCTACAAGCAAGACAATACTTGTCACTATAGTTGCCATTTATTTATCAAGTGTTTTACACTGGGCATTGGACTAAACTGTTCACCTATGGTATCTCATTTCATCCTCATAGTAACTCTGTGAAGGAAGAGGGGGGAGTGTTCTTTTATCAGTTGAATCACAGGTGAAGAAGGTGGAGTGAATCATACTTCTCAGTATGTTATACATTGTCATACTGGTCTGCACAAGATTGTTTCTTAGGGTAATTCACTAGCTTATTCCCCTTTAACCGTGTACTCTTATGCTCATTCATTCACCCACCCCTCACAAATAACCGATCTCTTATTTTTAGTATCTTTTCCTTTCTGTATATTCTTATGAAACATATCTTGTGGTTTCATGTGTGTTTAAAATTTATATAAAATGGTATGTTATATTTCATTCTGTCTCTAATTTTCTAATAACTGTTCTGACTGAAGTACTATATTTTTAAGACCCATCCACATTGTAATATATTGCTTCCAGTTGTGGCATAATACTCCATGGTGTGCATCCACCACAATCACATCTTCTCCTTCCTAGCAGTGGACAGCCAAGCTACATTGGTGTCAAACTCCCTATTGCCACCAACAAAGAATTACTGTATCCCTATATGTCTCCTTTATGACCTGTGTGAGAATTGCTTTGGGGTATATAGTGAAGGATGTAATTGCTACTTCATAGGGCATGCATAGACTTCATATGCCTAAGTAGTGCCGGAGAAGGAAACTAAAGCTGTGAAAGCTCTAATAACTTTCCTGAAATCGCATAGACAGTAATCAGCAGAGATAGGATTAAAAAATTCTACTCTAATGGCTATGTCATCATTAGTCCTATTTGAAACTTGAGGACATTGTACAAAAGCATAAAGTTACATCTCATTGTCTGTAGTTTTTATGTTCTTAGAACCTAGGAATCCAGGTGGACTGATTTTTTTTCTGAAGCACCTATCGGTGCCCCCATAGCTCCGTAGTAACTGTTTTTCTTTGTCTTTCATATCCTGTGGGTCTGCAGCACTAAAAGCCGCATTGGTCATACAGAACTGGTACCGAGGTTACAGAGCCCGATTGAAGACCAGACAACGCTATGCCCTCACCATCTTCCAGTCCATCGAATACGCTGATGAGCAAGGCCAGTTGCAGGTCTGTTTTGCAAGCTTGTCTCTTCTTTTGACAAAATGCTTCTCTTTACTCCTATTGTTGAAAGCATGAAAGGTTGAGTCCATTTTAATAGCGGAGGAACCTTGGTGAAAGACTTTTATAGAGGATATAGTGACATTGTTTTGGAACTAGCTATTGAGAGAGTATGATTTGGGAACAGGATGGTTTTTTTCAGTTCTGAAGTTCATATTTTTAAGACAGCTGCTAGATGTCCAGCTAACTAATAAATGGTCGTCTTCTTTTTTTCAATATGTGCCCTATTAGTAAAGTTGCTACTTCATGAAGTAAAAAATACTTTAAGGAGTTAAATAAATGGAAGAATTTCCTGGGGTCAAACATAGGAAAATTCTAGAAGAAAATATAGATGGGTGGGGAAAGACTTTTTCAAGCTTTCAAAAGCAATATGTAAATCCAACTTTAACAATAAAACGATCTCAGAAAGATCTACAATATGTTTGTTAATGAAAAATCAACTTGTGGAACAATATGAAGAATTTTATCCCATATATGTGAAAGAAAATGCAACATACAGTAAAAGTTTGGAAAATGATATACAGTAAATATTTACTGTGTCTATTTCTGGGAAGAAGCGTGGTATTGGTAGGTGGGAGGGGACTTCTCATTTTTATTCTGTATCATTTGTATTTTTCAACAATCATATATTTATAAATGTATCACACAATATAAGTAAAATGTTATATGAAAATAATAAATATAATTAAAAGTAATTAAAATTTCAAAAAGAATTAAAGAAATTTCTGAATTCTTGGTAGCTATAAAAATTATATACTATGATTTAGTCAGATATTCCCTTAACAGTTTACAGCACTGACTGTCCTTTTAAGCACTGTAGAATATAGTGACGGAGATTAAGGGAGAGTGAGCTCTTAAATTGATATGCTTTATACACAAATGTTCCAGTATTAGTACATTCTTTAAATATTGAGTCTTTTTTAATAACAAATTTATCGGGGTATAATTCACCTATTTAAAGTAGACAATTCAGTGGCCTTTAGTTTATTCACAAAGTTGTGTAATCACCACCACAATATAATTTAGAACACTTTCATCACTACCCCCTTCAACAACAAAAAAAACCTCTACACTCATTAGCACTCACTCCCCATTCCTGCCCTCTGCCTTCCCTGACAACTGCTAATCCGTTTTTTGTCTTTCTGGATTTGCCTTTTGTGGCCATTTCAAATAAATAGAGTCACACAGTATGGGATCTTTTGTGACTGGCTTCTTTCACTGAGCATAATGCCTTCAAGGTTCATCCATGTTATAGCATGTGTCAGTACTTCATTCCTCTTTATTGCTGAACGTTATTCTGTTGTATAGATCTAGGACATTTTGTTTATCCTTTCCCCAGTGGATACATCATTTGTGTTGCTTCAACTTTTTTTGTCTATTATGAATAATGCTGCTATGAATATTTGTGTGCAAGTTTTTCTGTGAACATATTTTTTTCAGTTCTCTTAGGTATATACCTAGGGGTGGAATTTCTGGATCATTGAGTGAGTCTGTGTTTAACTTTTTGAGTAATTACTAAACTGTTTTTCAAAGCAGCTGCACCATTTTACATTCCCACCAGCAGTGTATGAGGGCTTTAATTTTGCCACATCTGTGTCAACATTTATTATTATTTATGTTTTTGATGATAGTCATCCTAGTATATGTGAAGTGGTGTCTCATATGTGATTTCTATTGACTCTTAATTGACAAATCCATCAACAGCTTTAAAATCATACATTTTGGTATTTGTATGGAAGGTTTTCCTTCCCAGATCTACTCCCAGATTGATAAGGTTCCTTAGTGTTCACTCTTCATAGGAGATGAGGCTTGGAAGTTACTTGTGCTGTATACATGCAGGTCTTTGCAGATAATTTGTAGTCACAGAGGCAGTATCTTGGTGATGGTTGGAATGCTGGTAGATTTCCGACTTTCTTTCCTCCCTCCTTCCCTTCCTTCCTTTCCCAAATATGTTTGACATTTAAGAATATCTCTTAAAAAAAAGAAAGAATATCTCTTACTCTCACCATCAAAAGAAGAACATAATGAAAAAAAAATCTAGTAGCTGTCTTAGATTGGTTTCTTAGAATCAGAGTCTGAGATAGGGCTTCTTGTACAAGTGACTTCCTGAGAGGGCATTCACAGGAAAAATCTGTAAGGGAGCGTGAAAAGCAAGACAGGATGGAGGGAAAAGCTAGGCAAAAATATGGTTTCTGAAGAAGTCTGACCTCAGCCTGATCCTGTTGGGAGATCTGAAGTGTGAAATGTGTCAGATTGTCCCACCAATGGCAACGGAGGCGGTGGTCTGGGCTGTGATACCCTTGCTTCAGTTAGTCATTTCCTATGGGCAGTCCCCCAGGAGGGGGATATCGGATATCCTAAGCAACTCTGCAGGGGTAGTACTGCCCATCGGCTGAGGAAAGTCCTGGGGAGGAGGAGGGCCGTCAAAGACGGGACCCAGTAGCATCTATGGCAGCTTGGAGATGAGAACCTCAGAGAAGTAAAGGGGACTCACATGGAACACCAACAATGTTTGCCACAGTACCTGTTTGGGGTTCATTAATTGATAGGTGTATTTTTATTTTGTACAGCTCTCCAACTTCTTCTCCTTCATGTTGGAAAACTATACACGTGTGCAGGAGAAAGAGCCAGGTAAGTAGAAACTCTAGTCTTTTGAAAAGCAGTCATTAAATATTGAATTGTCTCATCAAGGAATGTGAACTCTGAAAATGGGAGAACACTAAGAAATTTAAAAGATATTGTCTATGTGACACCAAACAACTGGTGAAATCAGTTCAACTGGCTTTTTCCATCTGATTGGTGTCAACTAAATGACCAGTTTGTTTATTAAAAAAAAAAATTAGATTTCATTCTACTTTAGTGTGTTGAGTATCTTCTTTGAACCACAACCTACTGATGTACAGTAGTAACTTAGTAAAGAAGATCTTATTTCTTATCCACAGAACTTTTGTGCTGAGAGATCAAAATATCTTGAATATTTCATGAAACAGATCTGAGGGGGTATGGAAGATTAAACATAGTGGGCACCATCATGTCTCTGTTTTCTCCATAGCTAGCTAGCTGTCAGTCTGTCTATTTGTCTGTCATTTATTTAGTCATTCTGGAATGTTAACTAAATAAATCATTTCAGATATAGACACTATAAGTGTGATTCAAAATGATTTTAAAACTATAGTTATTTACAAGCCATGTATTCCTCTTGCAAATTAATCTGCCTGTTGTTATTGTCAAGGTAGACACTTGACTTAGAAACCTATTCTTTAATTTGGACCAGCTATTTTTTGCTCTAGTTAAAAATGTGTATGACATCTAAGAGCATCTTTTAATCTATTGGGCGCCTTTCAAAGTGGCAAAAGAATGGTGTTTTAATGGTATGCTCTGAGCTAAGTACATATGTGTGAAACTAATTGAAGCATTTAATGATCTGTAAAAGGTTTCTGAATGGTAGAATAGCCAAACTGGAGGAGTGGGGAGTGGGTGGAAGTGGGCATTTTGCCATTTTTTTTTCTTTTAGGTAATTACAATTTGAAGACAGTTTTTTGTGCTTTGTGTTCTTTGGCAAAAACATTTCTGAGAGGAAATATAATAATGATGGGATGAAATAGCCCTCTTTCTGCTAATGACCTAATATTTTAATCTAGACTATGCATCAGAATCGCTGAACAGAGATTCGTAACTACAGGTGGCTGGGTTCCAGCCCAAGGATATTTACTCAGGCTCTGTATTTTTAAAAATCTGCTCTTAAAAACATTCTGTAAGTGATTTAAAAGTATTTTTAAAATTTTATCAGAGAAGGGGACAGTAGTTTATAATCTTATGTAAACTTCTATGGAAGAAAAGTGTACACATTACAGAAAAGTACACAAATGATAAATATATAGCTTAATCAGTTTTCTCCCAGTAAACTCAGCCTTGTAACATGCCCCCAGAACAAGAAGCAGAGCATCATCAAAACCATGGAAGCCCCCTCCCGTCTTCCTATACTCACCACCCAGTCCCTGCACCCCGCCACTTCTTTTCTGCCTCCTAGCTTAGTTTTGTTTGTTTTTGAACTTCTCTGTATAAATGAAAGCATATCGTCTGCTTCTTTTACTCGACTTCATATTTGTGAGAGTCATCCATCTGGTCATTCTTATTGCTGAGTAATAATTAGCTTTATGAATATACCAAAATTTATCCATTCTACTGTTTATAGACATTTGAGTTGTTTTCAGTTTTGATAATTTAAATGGTGCTACTATGCACATTCTTGTACCTGTCCTTTTTAGTGAACACATGTATTATTTTCTTTTGCTGTATATTCATTTTCAGTTATCTATTGCTGTTAACAACTGCCACCGCCCCCCCCCCCCCAAATTTAGTGCTTAAAAACAACAGCCATTTTCTTTTGCTTGTGATTCTGTGGGTTAGGCATTTGAACAAGGCTCAGTGGGGATGGCTTGTGTGTTGGCTGTGATCAGTTGGGCTCACTCAGTATGGCTGGGTTGGGGAGGGAGGTCCAGATGGTTTTATTCACATGTGTGGGAGTTTGATGTTAGCTATGAACTTGGTTATCTGACTTTTCCTCATGCGGCCTCTGTCCAACACTATTTCCTGGACTTATTTACATGGCCTCTGGATCCCAGGAGGGCAAAGGGAGAAGCAGCAAGGCCTCTTTGGTCCTCTGCTCAGCAACTCACACAAGATCAGTTCTGCCATATCTTCTTAGTTAAAATAAGCCACAGGACTAGGTGCAGATTCAAAGGGGTTAGGAAAGATCCATCTCTTGAAGGAGCAGTAGCAGCAGTGTTCTATTGTGAAGGGATATGAATATAAGGAGGAATGATTTGTTGGGGACTCTTATTTATAAAGATGTACCACAACCCAGGAAAGGAGATTTGCAGTTACAGGGCATACATACATATGTTCAGCCTTATTCGGTACTGATAAACAGTTTTACAAAATAGTTGTTACAAGTTATACTGCCAACAGTGTATGAGAGTTCTAGTTGTTCAGTGTCTTCATCAACACTTGAAGTTATCAGTCCTTTTCATGTTAGCCATTCTGGTAGGTATGTAGTGATACCACATTTCTGCTTTAATTGGCATTTCCCTGGTAAGCAGAGAAGTTGCTCACCTGTTTGAATGTTTTGCAGTCATGTGGGCATCTGGTTTGTCAAAATGCCTGTTCAGGTCTTTTACCCATTTTTCTTTTGGATTATCTGCCTTTTTCTTACCAATTTGTAGGAGTTCTGTAAGTATTCTGAATATGAGACTGTGAATCTTTGTTAGATAAATTTATTGCAAATATTGATCCTCATCTTTGGCTTTATCCATCCCCTTAGTCTTTAATATTTAAGTAGTGTCTTCTGATGAGTAGACATTCTTGATTTTAATGTAGAGCAGTTTTTTTCTTTTATGGTTAATGCTTTCTGTATCCTGCTTAAGAAACCTTTGCCTGATATGAGTGTGTGTGTATATGCTCATCTGTGCAAAAATACAGAAGAAACCTACAGGATAAATCAGAAATGAAAGGCAATATTTACCTACAGGGAATGAGGGAATGGAGGGGTGAGTGGGAGCAGGGCAGAAAGAACAGGTAAAATAGGGATTAGGTAGGAGGGATGAGCGGAGAAGGCAATGGCACCCCACTCCAGTACTCTTGCCTGGAAAATGCCATGGGCAGAAGAGCCTGCTGGGCCGCAGTCCATGGGGTCGCGAAGAGTCAGACACGACTGAGCGACTTCACTTTCACTTTTCACTTTCATGCACTGAAGAAGGAAATGCAGCCCACTCCAGTGTTCTTGCCTGGAGAATCCCAGGGACGGCGGAGCCTGGTGGGCTGCCATCTAAGGGGTCGCAGAGTCGGACATGACTGAAGCGACTTAGTAGCAGCAGCAGCAGCAGGAGGGATGAGAGAAGAGTGACACTTCTCTGAGAATACCTTTTTTGTAGCTCTGATTCTTAGAACCATAGTAATATTTCATATCCCTAAAAAAATAATTAAAAATAGGAAGAAAGAGAGAATGTGATTCCCAAATAGAATACACACTGTGACAAGTGACCTTAATTGTATTACAAATAAATAATCTCACCTGAAGGAGTTGGGGAAGAAACAAAATAACCAAAGTGATATCATTGAAAAATAGTTTTAACCATAAAATGCCTTGATGAGGTTTCATTTTTATTTATCCTGAGTGGGATTTATTGAGCTTCTGTTATATCGAGGTTGATATTTTTGTTAGGTTTAGGAAATTTTCATCCATTAATTATTTAAAATATCTTTCTTTTCAAGTCTAAATATCTTTCTTTGTGACTCCCGGTTTTAACTTAGAAGGCCCTAAAATATTTAAAATGTGAACGACTATGCCTTTTTTCCTAGTTTTTTATGATTTGAATTTTAAAATGTTAACATTTAAAAAATAAAATAAAATGTTAACATTTCATAAATTTTGAATTTTTGACAATTAAACTAAAAAGGAAATTTTGATGCCTAGTAGTTGAGAATAATTAAAAAACACAACTGCAAAGAAAATGTCCAAGTAGTTTGCCTAATTTTTCCCACATTTATTTCATAATGTATCTTTTCATTGTGATTTGAAGTGCCTCTTTTATAATGTTCAATATATTCATTTAAAAATGTGTAATAGGATATATTTCTGGATTGTCTGTTATCTTATACATCTCTCTGTTATATAGTCCTAGAATTATACTGATTTAGTTATTATATGTATCAGAAAAGGAAATTTACAGGTTATTGCTATATATTAATTTCACTTAAAATTTTTTTCCAGCTTTATTAAAATATAATTAACACATAATCTTACATACGTTTAAGGTGTAAAATATGATGATTTAATATATGCATATATTGCAAAATGATTACCACAGTGTTAGTTATTTAATGATACATGCATCAAAGACAGTTACAATTTTGTGTGTGTGTGGTGAGAACTTTTAAAATACACTCTCTTAGCACTTTTTAATATGCAGTAGAATATTGCTGACTAGAGTCACCATACTGTACATTACTGTAGGTTGCTTTCTGTTGGCCCTTTTTTGTGGGACTGTACCTAGGCCTGTTTGGCGGAAGTGCTGCAACCCCTAAGCAGGATATATTTAGGGACCACAAGGTCACTTTAACATTTCCAGATATGAGGGCCAGATTAATGGCCAGATTTAACTTTGAGCCACCGAGTACCCTGAGATATTCTAAGTGTTCCAGTGGTGAGAGGTGATCTGCATGTCCTATTGCTTGCTCAAAACTAATCCATAGGACTTGATGGGGAGACTCTACACATCCATTCCCCAGGCTGCTTTTTCACATCAGTCTCCTCCCACAGGCATAAAGCCTATACATATTAATAGCAGTGGTTTAAATGGAGGCTGGTGGAAGTGGGGAGTGGGATGGAGTGAATGGAAGTGTTATTTTGACTTCTCTTTCTGCTTCCCAGATCAATCAAAATGTCCTATCAAGCTAGGTATTTTATATTTTTTGTTGCTGTCATGAATAAGATATTTTCCCCACTATCTCACCCTAATGATTATTAGTAGTATTTAATAAAGATTTTGGTTTCTGTTTATTTTGTACTGTTACTATTTACAGTAACATTCAATAATTTTTATTATTACTGATATTTAGTAAATATCATG